GGGAGGGGAGGGAAGGGGAGGGGAGGGGAGGAGGAGCGCTTGATGCTTTGATTAAACCACAAAAGCAACATATCCATAGGATAGCTCTTGTCTTATTCCTAAGGTTGAGTGTAAGTCACATGGCCACATTGCATCAGAGAGAAGACCTATCATATAGCCAATGAGGGCAGTTGGGCTGAATTAAGGAAATTGAGAGCTGGAGGACACTTTAGGAATTCAGGCCCACCTGCCACACTAAATGAAAGAAGAAACTAAAGTCTAAAGAGAAAGAAAGGGACTTCCAAAGTCAGACTGTTACTGGGTAGTAGAACTGCACTTTGAATTCCATCAGTATACCTTCCCCAACTTGACTCTTTCTAGCAAAACCTACTACCTCCAACTTGAGGCTGAAATAGATATTCTATAGTGAGGAAAGAATAATAAAATGAAGACATTTCTCCCATTTCCCTCTATTCCTGAGGCTGATGTTGACCTAAGCAAAGACCTTTGCTTTCGTTAAAGTTGTTGGCACACCAGAGGGATTTAGCAGAACCTGGCTCAATGTTATAAACTTCGCACCTGAAAATAAGCATATAAAATTTACTAGCTCCATTTGCTACTAAAAAAAAAAAATCAAAGCATAAGCTCTTAATTAATTTAGCATACCAACAAATCTTGCTAATTATCTTTTTTCTAGGACAATACTTTGTTACCTTTAGCTGAAATATAGTTTTGTAGACAAATATTGTAAACGCCCAAGGCATTTATTGCCTCAGTCCTATGTCTCTGAAGTCCTGCATTCCTTAGCCTTGAGGAGAGGGGGAAGGTCTACCCTCACCCCACCCAGAACCTCCAGTTCTGAGGTGATTCTGCCCTCTCCTTTTCTAAGCCTATAGATAAGCTAGATGCCTCCTCTGTAGGACCAGGCATTCAGCCCTAGACAGAGAGGGAACCTTCCTGAAACTCCTGGATTCATTCCCTTGGAAGCCTCATGGGTTATGACAAACTAGCTAGCTGTGGTAGAAACAAGGGAACAGCCAGGCTCAGCAGACAGGACTGAAGAGGCCAATCAGACCTTTTTTATCAAAGCTCATTTCTAGAACAGGATACTGTGGGGGTGTGCAGTCCATCTGCCTGGGAGTGTTTTCACCCACTCAGCCCACATGGCTTAGGTGGACGCCAAGCACAGTTAATCTCCAGTCACAAGCAGTCCTCAGGGACTTCCAACTTCCAGCAGTGTTTCTGTTATCATGGATATTTGGCTATTGGGACAGAGGTTGGCTTGCCCAAGGTCACATCACCACCCTGGAAGTGCTGTAGATTTCCAGGTAGATAAGACTCCTTTTCCTGCTAGACACATCACTTTGAGGAATGAAGGGTGAGCATCATTGCCTAGCTTCTCTGCCCTACCTCCCTCCTAGGTACCGTGTCTACATTCTCTCATGCTTCCCAGTCTTTGCTGAGTAGGCTGCTACAGTGAGCATTATGAGGGAAGGCCGCAGGGCTAGACCCTGAGTCCAGGTAAGATTCTCAATCACAGACAGAGGATTACAGTTTCCCCCATAAGGCCCGAAAAGGCATAGTCTATGTTCTAGAGCACTGTTTCTTAAACTTTAATGTTCCATTTGCTTGGAGAGTTTGTTAACATGCAGATTCAGACTCACATGTCTGGGATAAAGTTGACAATACTGCATTTCTAACCATTGATGCTGGTGCTGCTGGTTTAGGGCCCACTTTGAGTAGTAAGTTGCAAGGTCAGTGGTACGTCAGAATCACCAGAGGACTCTTTGAAGCACAGACTGCTGGGCTTTACCCCAAGATGTTCTTTCTTGTTTTTTATTGAGTTGGAGTCTCACTCCATTGCCCGAGCTGGAGTGCAGTGGCATGCTCACGGACACCCCAATGTCGACCTGCTGGGCTCTGGCAATCCTTCTGCCTCAGCCTTCCAAGTAGCTGGAACTACAGGCGTGTGCTACCACACCTGGCTAATTTTTTATTTATTGTCGAGACAAGGTCTCGCCAAATTGCCCGAGTTGGTCTTGAACCTGTGGGCTCAGACAATCCACTTGTCTCAGCCTCCCAAAGTGCTGGAATTACAGGCTGAGCCACGGAGTTCAGCCCCCCAAGAGATTCAGACGTAATAGGTTCAGGAGTGGGCCTTTGAACTCTATTTCAAACAATTTTTCAAGTGATGTGAATGCTGCTCTCCTGGGGTAGCAAACTTTGAGAGCCATGGTCTTAGGCCATTCCATAGATGAGAGCTGTTGTAATTTAATTATCATGATAAAAAGTAGTTCTCAGCCCTGGTCACACTGTTGAATCACCTGAGGAGCTTTTTGCTGTTGCCAAAGTCCCATCTGGAGATAGTTAAATCACAGTATCTGGGTATGGGGCCTGGGCATTGCCATGTTTTTAAAAATCCCTAGGCCTGGTGTGGCTCATGTCTATAGTCCCAGCACTTGGAGGCGGAGGCAGGAGGATCGCTTGAGCCCAAGGGCCCAAGATCAACCTAGGCAACATAGTGGGACCTTGTCTCTACAAAAAATAAAAATATTAGCCAGGTGTTGTGGCATGTGCCCGGAGTCCCAGCTACTTGGAAGGCTGAGGCAGAAGGATTGTTTGAGACCAGGAGATTGAAGTTGCAATGATTGTTCCACTGCACTCCAGCCTGGGCAACAGAGTGAGACCTCCAACTCATAAAAATAAATAAATAAATAAATAAAATCTCATAATCAGATTGCAAGGTGAGTCATCCTTCCTGGGATTTTGCAGAGCACAAGTTGCATACCTGTGAACAGACCTGGGTCTCAGAGGCAGTATGCTAACAACGCAAATGAAAATCTAATGAAAGATTTATATGGACAAAAGTGAAGAGGATTGACCAGAGTATCTCTCCTTGGGTTAGGAGTGAAGTTCTTTTGAATGCTGGTATTTACTCTTCTGGGTCATCAAAAGAAACACAGTACCCTAAAGTTCAGTGTGACTGCTAAGGCACCTGACAATCTCATGATTTTAATATCCTTCATGACCAGCAGGGCCATGACCCAACTGTGTTCTAAAGAGATGATGGCCTTAACTCTGTACGCCTGGTCCTGTAGAGGTGACAGCAGATTTAGGCAAGATCATATAATTTTATAACATCTCAAAAAAACATGGCTGAGTTACCCAGATTTTACTTCTTTTTCCTGCTCAAGATTTATTCATAATGTATCCAATACATGAATGAGCCCTTACTGTTAGACTTGCCAACGTACATCCCCAGCCTCCTCTACTCCCAGGCTATCTCTTATCTCCTGTCCATGCCAGCAGGGCTCTGGGTACAGGGCAGTGGGGTGGGCTGGGTGGTAGAAGACCTGGGCACAGCCCAGGGATGTGCCCAGACAAGTGATTTTCTTCTGGACTAGCTGTCCTTGGGACTGTCATGGCTTTTTCTAGTTTTAACATCAAAGGCCATCTTGCAAAATAGCAAGCATAACAATAAGGGCTCACTCATGTGTTGGATACATTTTGAATAAATCTTGAGCAGGAATAGAAGTTAAATCTGGGTAACTCAGCCATGTTTTTCTGAGACGTTATAAAATTATATGATCTTGTCATAAATTTTTATCAGCACTGCTTACACTCACCCACAGACCAGTGGTAAAACATGGAGAACTCTGAGAAGCATGAACAGGATACAGGAGATAAACTGGGAGTAGAGGATGGGGCTGGGGATGTATGTTGGTGGCAGGGGCTGGGGTGGGAGTAGGGGACAAAATAGGAAACAGTTACATATTTGAATACAATTCACAAGGATGTCTGACTGATTTTGGTTTGTTTTTCCAGGCCACCATTTAAAAAATGTACTAATTTTCATCACTGGTTCTCCTGTTCTCTCTGCAGCACCAGAAGACCCTGGCGCTATTCCCATCTTTAGCACAGCCTATCTGGGCAACCTTGGACAAGCTATTTTAGTTCTCATGCCTTCTGTTTCTTTTTCTTTAAAATGAGGGTAAAAATCTTGATTCTTTGTGTCTGTAGGAATAAAATGAATAAGCAAGGTGGAAGTGCTCCTTGGAAGCTAGCTGGTATTCTTACCTTCATTATCTCCTTACAAGGAGAATGAGAGAGGTGACCCACCTGAGGCCTGGACCTCCATGATGTACTGGTGCAGATCCTGGCCCTGCTGGATGACCTCAAAGGTCATGTTGTTCATGGCTAGCTTCCGCTCTGTGTGGCGCTGCAGCCGCTGCTCTGCCAGGGTCAGATCCTCTGTGTTGAAGTCATTCATCTGCCGGAGCAGGTCCTCATTCCAGGCATCTAGTTCTGCTGTCACCTGCAAGGGAACCACTGTCATTGATACAGGCTCTCCAGGTCCATAAGAGACTGCTAGGTTGAAGGTCACGATTCCAAGCCTTGTTCACTAACTCATCCCTCAGATCAGCCTCCTTGACCCTTAGACTATATTGAAGGGACACTGCCACACATCTTCCTATACATGACTTTAAAAGTGCTTTCCGTGTGTTTCAAAGTTTACAACAACAGTAAAAGAGCAGCAGCAAATGTTTATATTATGAATTATGGTTTATAAAATGCTTGCATAGTCCCTCACAATGATCCAGTGAGGCAAGGATGGTGGAGATGTCCAGGTCCATCTTACAGAAGAGGAAACAGACTCTCACTCAGATAGATGGAATAATTTACCCTGCTAGAGAGGGGCAAAGCTTAGAACATAGTTCAGCTCTTCTCCTGACAGCAAAGACTTTATCTACCATCCTATAACTGTTGCCCTAAAAAAAAAAAAAAAATCATAATTGGAGAGGTCCTCCAATAGACCAAGAAATAGGTTATTTCAGAAACATAAACTGAAGGTTAGAGAAGCCCAATAAATGATCTGGGGTTACAAGAATCAGTTAAAGAGCTGATGTACATCAAACCTAAGGGTCCCAATCCAGTTCCTATGCTCTACTGTATAAGATTCTCTACCTTTATAACAAAGGATACCAAGAAATAGTGACTGAACAAGGTTTAGAAATTCAAGCAGATTATAATCTAATGAAAGGTACTAATGATTCTAATGAAGACTGAAGCATATAATGAATGACAAGAACACCCTAATATCAAGTTGGTAATTGTTTATTGCTCTACGACTTAATTCACGTGACTTCACCGGGCTCTCCGCAATAGAGACTAAATGCTACACTTCCTTTACAGTCTCTGCTATCATCTAGAGTAAGAGCTCAGAAGTATTGAATTAGATAACAATTCCATGTGACATGTGAATCAAAATTAAAACTTTTAAAATGAGGTTTTCAGATCTGTTCTCTCATGCTACCTGCACAGCAGCCATGTGAGGGCAACAGTAGGAATACTGTTCCCAGGAGAGGTAATGAAAGTGTCACCCGTGGCCACACCTTTGCAGTGTGGCCCAGGCAGTCTAAGCACACATCCCAGAACGCTAGTTGTGTGGTTTTCATTATGCTGGGTCTCCTTTCAGCTCCCACATGACATAACTCTCCCAGCTCCCAAACACCGCTGCTCTTGGAGTATCAGGGACAAAGGGAAATAAACAGAAGACAGATCGAGGCAAGTGGAAACAGTGCTCTTACACTCCATGCTGGGGCCATGCATCCTGGGATGGGAAAGCCAAGTAATCCAGGATTATTTTATTGTCTAACAGTTAAGACCTTTCTTCAAGCAAAATAGAAACAGATGAAAGTGTGGTTGATCTCTTTGAAGAAGACATGGGGGAACTATGAAAATACCACCCTTACCACCCCAGGTGCTCACCTCATACCCCTACAATTTTTCAGGTCAACTCAGCTCAGCAGGAAAACCCAGTATCAGCTTATTGTGTGGAGTCCTTGGGGGATCTGGGAGCCAGCAGATTGGCAGGCAACACAGGTTTTTGTTGTAGCTCATCTTTGAAAAGTACTCCATTCTCTAACTAGAGAAAGGGGTGAGTCTTAGGAGAGTAAGAGAGAAAATGTGTTTCTAATTTACAAGAGATAATTTAGAGGATGAATAGGCCTTTATAGTCTTTATAGGACTAGGCCTACAACTATCTTTTTCCTTACTGTGTTGAAAAAAATTGAAGTGTAATTTACATACCATGAAGTGCACATATTTTAAGCATTCACTTCTTTGAGTCTTGACAGTTTTATATGCCTGTGTAACCATCACCAAAAATAAAACTATACAGCCTTTCCATCACTCTAGTGAGTCTACTTGTGTCCCTCTCCAGTATGTTCCTGCCCTTCCCACCTCCCAAAACAGGTACCACTTTCTGATTTCTATCAACATAGATGTTGTTTTACCTATTCTTGAATTTCATAATAATGAAGTGTGTGTGTGTGTGCGTGTAGCTGGTTTCTTTTGTTCAACATGCTGTATTTAAGATTCATTCATGATTCATCCATACTGTTGTGTGGATCAGTAAGTAGTTCATTCCTTGCTACAGCTGAGAAGAATACTATTGTATAGATATGCCACCATTTGTTTATCCATCCTTCTGCTGATGAGCTATTGGGTTGTTTCCAGTTTGGCTAATATGAGTAAGGTTGATGTGAAAGTTCTTATACAAATCTTTCTGTGAACATAGCTTTTCATTGCTCTTGAGTAATTACCTACGGGTGAAATTACAAGATCATAGAATAGGTTATGTTTGGCTTTATAAGAAACAGCATTCTTCAAAATGATTGTAACATTTTACATTCCCAATAGCAACATATTAAAGTTCCAGTTGCTCTACATACTTGCCATCATTTGGCATTATCAGTCAATTTAATTTTAGTCACACTAGTGGGTGTAAAGTGATATCTCATTATGGTTTAAAGTTGTATTTTCTCGATGACTCATGATGGTGAGAACATTTTCATATGTCTATTGACCATTTGTATATCTACTTTTGTAAAGTGTCTTTTCCAGTCTTTTGCCCATTTTTTAAAAACTGGAGTTAATTATATTTGGATTGTAGATATGTAAAATTTCTAAGTATATTGTGAATATAAGTCCTTTACCAGATAATACATTGAAAATAGTACAAATCTGGTTGGGGCGGTGGCTCAAGTCTGTAACCCCAGCACTTTGGGAGGCCAAGGTGAGAGGATTACTGGAGTCCACAGGTTCGTAACCAGCCTGGGCAACTTGGAGAGACCTCATTTCTACAATAAATAAAAAGTTAGCCAGGTGTGGTAGTGTGTGCCTGTAGTTCTGGCTACTTGGAAGGATGAGGCGGAAGGATAGCCTGAGCCCAGCGGGTTGATGCTGGGGTGGCTGTGAGCATGCCACTGCACTCCAGCCTGGGCAATGGAGTGAGACTCCAATTCAAAAAAGGAAAAAAAAAAATAATAATAATAAAGAAAAAGAAAAGTAAAAAAGAAAATAGTACAAATCATAAATTTTTTGTCCATTTTCTTGTGTATAAACTAAGAGCAATTAAAATAAATCTAAAACAATAAGCATGAAGAAAAGAGCCTGACTCTTCTTTTGATTTTAGCTTTTGTTTTGTTTCCATGAAACTGAATCTATGAAGGATCCATTTGTTGCAGGAAGATCCCAGAGGAGTCCCAAGGCCAGGATCCTGTGGAGTGGGAAGTGCTGAAGGACTTGGTGCAGAGGGATTGGAAGTGGCAGAGTAAGGACAGTACTTCAGTTGAGGGAGCTCAAAGATCTGGTATCTTAGGAATTTGAATCCAAACTGAAAGTGAAATATGTCCAGGATTTTAGATATGGTGTTTTATAGTCTTTGCTTCCCTTTCCTTATCTTCCTCCACCTTCATCACCTGATACTATTAAGTTTAAGACCCCAGGTGAGTTATACAGCCTGAGGAATGGGAATTTCCAGGGCTCTGAACAGAACAGCCTGACTCTTAAGGCTACTTTTCCTCGTCCACATGCTCTCTTCTCTGTACATCAGACTCCCCCTCCCTTCTCTCTCCAAACATGAAATGCCCAGAGCCTTCAAGTAGTCTGATTTGTATGTTTTTAATGTCTACTGGAGTTTAAATTATTCTCTTTCCTAAGTCTTTCCTCGAGAAATTTTTTTTTCCCATAGAGATGGAACACAGGGTTTCCAGAAAGCACACACTTTTAGGCAGTCTATTATGCCTTCTTCTCTCACTTAGCTCCCTCTCAGACCCTGAACCGCTCAGTTCCCCTCTTAGCTCCAGTGGTCTCTGTCTCTTCACCCTCCTGGATTAATTGGATGTTTGGATATGATGACCTCTTTGAGAGGAACATTGGCAATATTTCTATTCTAAAAATTGTCTACTCTAGGAACACATAAATAAAGGAAATCAGAGAAGGAGCTAAAAAAAAAAAATTAAGAGCAAAAGGCAGTGGGAAATAGGAAGGCTCAAAAGAAAAAAAAAGCTCTAAACCTTACCATCATGCAATATACCCATGTAACCAACCTGCACATGTACCCCTTGAGTCTAAAATACAATAAAACAAAATAAAGAAGTCCAAGATATTCCTTCCAGATAAGGTTCACCAAACCCAGTATTCTGTCATCAAAACTTGTTCCATGGGAGTTGGTTTAGCAGCCACCTTAGGTTCTGTTCTCAGTAAGCCTTCTCTATTGACTCCTCCCATTTCCTGGGACTTCCCAAGTATTCATGTGTAGAGAAAACTTTAGTCCCTTTTTCTTCAAATGTTTTGTTCTGTATCTGCCTGAATCAAGACTCACCTGTCCCTTTTCTTCCCACTTTCTATGGTCTATTCCCATCAACTTCACTCTTTATCACTGGCAATGCTGGAAATCTCACTGTGTAGTCCTTTCTTCAGACCATCTTTTAGATGCTAGCAATGATCATGATGAAGAGGATATGGTTGAAGAAGGCATTCTACCCTGTATTGTGCATTTATTATGGAATAGACAATGTGTTACATATTTGACTAAATTTATTTAATCCTCATAGCACTCTAGGAGAAAATGAAAGCACAGAGAAGTCAGATAGTTTTCCCCAAAGTCTCAGAGCTGGTGGTGGCAGAGCTGGTCATTCAACTACAAAGTTCAATGCTCTTAACCAATGCTATTACATCAATAAGGAGGTTCTAAGAATTGATTTCTGGGGATATCCTTCTTTTCATTATGCTCACTTCAGAGAAGTGCCAGTTTTACCCTTCCTAAACTAAAAAACCTTGACAGCTCAGTTTTCTTCACTTCACATGAAGTTTTTCAGTTAATCATGTATTCATTAAGCTGATCAATAAATTAATTGTGTATTTGTAGCCTTATATAAATGCCAGGCATAGTTTACCCTTGCAAGAAAACACACTGACTTCCTCCAATCGGGTATTTTTGTTTGAGTTTGGTAATTCTTTTTTTTTTCT